CCTTCGTTATGAAAACCTTTGAATTCAAAGACACACAAAATTGTTAAATAATTGTTTTCAATTTTATCCGCAAATAACCGCAATTTCGCAGCCAAGCTCAACCTCGTTCCCAGGGCTTCAGTGTGAGGACGAGGCGAGACACGAGGAAGCCCTGGTCCTAACCTGAAGTTCAGGCCCTATCACAGAGGGCCTGAACTTCAGGTTACCCTGGTCCGGGCCGGTCAATTTTGCATTCTGATTGGCTAACGCCATATATTGTCTAAAAATAACTGAACTTGACAGTTGACAATAACAATTCAACATTTGTATTTTTATGATTCTTGTGTGTACGAGTATGTTTTGCAAAACAATCGTTCAAAGTAAGACGTTTTCCCGACTGCATGATTTATTTTCGCCTCGGCCGGTTACAAAACTCAAAAGCCGTGTTGAAGTGAGCTGTGATGTTTCCTGACAAAACAAGAAGCGTCTACTATTATTTAAGCTGTAGTTTTCCTTGTACAGTATTTATTAGTGCAGATGTCTGATGAAATACTACGCGTATTGCATTGTGGTAATATTTTAATTTACAATATTCTATACTGACAAATAAAAGCAAGACAAACAATTAAATGAAGCTACGAAATTAATTTAGGCCCTGTTTACTTAATAGCTCTACGCCTAGGCCAATGTAGTCTTTACAAGATTCGCACGCCAGCCAGATTTTCAGTTTCAGAATACCCCGAATACTTGAAAATTGCGACGATACGATAAAAATAAAACAAAGATTGTGAAGGGGATAAAATTTGTAGGCTAGCATTGCTCCTGAACGGTAAGTGTTGGTGTCCGACGAAACAAGCGAATCCGTATACTCCTGTTACTACGGCGTAAACAGGTTACGCGAGGTTTATATTTGTGTTTATTTATATTGAACTAAGTCAGATCTATAAGAGCATATTTAAACTAAATATTAATTATAGCAATAGCCATATTCTTCAAGACGAGAGAAAGGAAATTTCGTGTGAATCACCACTTACATGGAGACACCTAGATGCAGCTTGGATGCACTTTGCCTGCATGTAGTTGAAAATCTCCAGAAATAATGAAATATCGGTATATCTTTGAAAACATAGACGGGATCTTCATAGATTTTAGCTGATTCGTGCCAAACTTCGCTCTACACATAAATAATATCAATTGAGATTTGAGAAGTCTTTTGGCTATTTATTCGTTTCGAAGATTTGTATATTTCATTAAAGATATCTCGCCACTCCTTGACGAGTAGCTGTCAAATACTGCCATTTTTTGCCGTCACGTGACCGGCCCGGACCAGGGCTTCCTCGTGTCTCGCCCACTGAGCTATACTATATTACTGGAGGACCTGCTCGGCATCATCAAGTGAAGCCGAAAACATGGCGGCTATTACGCCATTTCCATGACAACACTTACTTTATTTTCATGGTAATTGCCACTGACCAACCGCGATCCTAAGCTTTCGAAGATGTCCTTAACCCCCCTGGTTTTTGCATAGATATATTATTATATTAATAAGATATTTCAAGTTTTCTGTTGTTTTTGAGCAAAAATCTTAATATTTCCCTCAAACATTACTTGTTTTACAACGCGGAGCGAGGGTGCGGGTTTGCTTCGCTTGTGGATGCAGCATTTCACTACAAAGAAAGATTAATTCTTTCAGGTAAGATTCACGAAACTTTTTTTATAACTTTCTAGACGGCTAGATCGAGTCACTATAGACCTTCATATTATGTCAAAAACTCATCATCCTAATATATGCTGCAAATATTTCAATAGGGGACATAAAATATTGTTAACATTATGTTGTTTTGTGTCAGCACTGGCCTTTGTGGTTTGCCAGTTTTTAATTTATACTAAAAATTGTGGTTGTTTACTTGTTTACATGTTCATATACAGAGGTTCATATATTTTAAACGAATATATGTGGTGTGAAATTTATATACTTGCCCATCACAGCATAGGCAGCCCAAAAATTGTTGTAGAATGTTCTAAATGTCGATCGGTGTTAAAACTCGCCCTATTCCTCTTAACTTTGTCGCGCGCCGCAAGCGCCGCCATATTGAAAAGCAATTGATAATATATAATAACATTATTATATATGTTATTATATATATATTATTATATATATATATGTTATTATATATAATAATATGTTATTATATATTATCAATTGCTTTTCAATATGGCGGCGCTTGCGGCGCGCGACAAAGTTAAGAGGAATAGGGCGAGTTTTAACACCGATCGACATTTAGAACATTCTACAACAATTTTTGGGCTGCCTATGATCACAGTGCAGAATTAGTATATATAGATAAGCACAAGACCAGAGAGAGTTGAGCCATAGAGGATGGCCACCTACATGTGACAATGCATGTGCCTAGCTGTCCTGATGAGCCCTAAAGACTGTCTTTATTATTTTACTCTGTCTAATGCCAAACGATTTTAAGGGGATTGAGATTGCTCCCTGCTGCCACGCAGTGAGTTATTTACACTATTTGCAAATGAGCAGCCCCTGAGATATATAGTCAGCCCATTAAGCTGCAATGAATCCTGGTTACTTTCTTATTTCACTCAATCTGTGAGATTAAATCCAGATGTTTTACTCAATACTCATCAAGGGAAGAGTCTTAAAAATAGATATCATTTTGCCATTGTCTGTTCAGAACTATATAAAACTATATAGTTTTACATGTACAGTATATGATGTTATAGTTACATGGCAAGAACAAAAATGTTGCCCACAAGCTGCCGGGACTTAAGTGAGTCACTGATATACTAATCATGAGGTAAATTCGGCATGCCACAACATGTCTAACAAGGGCGGATTTTTATTTATTTCACCACTCAGTGAACTTTGGCATGGATTAGGTGTTTGAATTGTTGGCCTTTCACACAAAATAGGAGGGTTGAAGCAGATTTTGGTGGGGTTGAACACTTTATTAGAGGGGTTTAACCTCCCCCCCCCCAAGTAAACCCGCCCCTAATTTCTAACATTGGGAGTAGTGATATCCGATTGGCCATGGCACGGCCTGTGAGAAATTATGATGAAATTTGCTCATAATAGTTAAGTTTGATATATTTTAGCAGTTAGTCAGGAATGTGATTGCATTCAGCTGAAACATGACACTTAATGTTGAAGCTTGGATCAATGGTCTTGGTAAAAACAGATCATGTATTCGCACTCTCCCCTTGACTACTAAAATTGTCTGGCATTAGGTAGATTAAAATAATACAGTGAGGCATATCAAGAGACATTGCCACTTGTGAAGGGTTAACATATGTGTATATGATATTTTTATGATGTAAAGATATATAATGTATCATGATAATAATGTCATCTTTTATTTTGCAGAAATGATATGTTTAATATACACAAGAGATGGCACTGAGGCATCAACATGCAATACCATGCATAACAACATAAATAATTATATGATTATGATAACTTTATTGAAGTGTAAATAAATTATATAGCAATTAAATTAAAATAAATTGATTATACATTTTTGTTTTTCAAATTGTTTATTACTGCTAATAATTTTACAAAAAAGTCAAATACACCCTTCCGGAATGTATTTCACCTTGGCTATGCAGCCTCATTTGCACTATGTGGCATGAGTTAAAGTCCAATGTCTCAATCGTGAAAATGAGACTCTATAGCCAAGGTGACATAATTTCTGGAAGCGTGTATTAAAATACAGTATGTTCAGTTTCCAAAGATATGTGTGGCTTGGTACTGTAACTTGCCACCCAGAAAGGAGTGTGTCATTGTGGAATAAATCTGCAATAAACAAGAGTAGATTAATTATCTAGGTTGTACAAAAATTCACCAGTAACATAATTAGCATATGATCAAGGTAAACAAAAGAATGTGACCTAACACAGACTCAGCTTAAACCAGGGGTATCAGAACTATAAGTGCACTTATATTTACTGAGAAAACTTGTAAGAAAACAGGCCATCCTGGAAATGAGGCCTTGGCACACACCTCAGCTAAACCTTGTTACCTCGGCTTAGGGAAAAGTGTGATTTATCTGAAGCCTCTATATCACTATTATTGACACAAAATAGAGAAGTATCGGCCCCAACCATGGAGAAAACTAGGTAGAAAAATACTAGAAACTACCTTCCCAGATCAGTTTCCAGCACCCTTAGCTATTAAAGTGGTACATATTACAAAACCTAATTCCCTTTTCAGTATGAAAGATAGCACATCATCATAGTTTATGTCTGTTTATAAAACGAGACCTTAGGAGTCAACCTTTTAAGGCTTTTAAACAATTTGTGGACTGCAGGACAGTTCCTCGTATATGTGATTGTGTCGAATCACAGCTTGCTAAAATAGTGGGAAATTTTACACTTTACCATGTGTATTGCATAGGAAGTTGTTTTATTAACAAATAGAGTGTCAGTTTCATCGTTATGCTTATCAATTACGTGTCAAATATAAAGGTAAAGTCTAAATATTAAAAAATTGAAATATGAAAATTTGTCTCTTACCTTCGTAAATCCTCGTCTTTTCCCACATTTTCTTGAGGTTTTAAATTTGTTTGTCGTCTTTCACGGGCGAGAATAACACGTACGACTTGCATATCTTTGTCCAAATAATCAAAGGTAGAAAATTTATATCGAAAAAATTTTAAAAACCGATTCAAAACCACAAAAACTATATTATCTGCAAAACTTTTTTGCAAAAACCAGGGGGGGGGGTGAAAACGGCCGTGGGCTCAGAATTGAGCCTGGTCAGTGGTACCTACCATGAAAATAAAGTAAGTGTTGTCATGGAAATGGCGTCATTTTGCCTGAAAATCCGCCATGTTTTTGGCTTCACTTCGTTGACTGAACGAAGTATAGGAGCAGGTCCTCCAGTTATTAAACAGCTCAGTGGTCTCGCCTCGTCCTCACACTGAAGCCCTGGGAACGAGGTTGAGCCATTGAACTATAAATAAACTGGAAGGCTAACTGCTATGATAAAGGCCTATGATTTGATGAAGCCAAAATAGTTTTTCTGAGTTATGAGCAGAAATACTTGACCCCAAACGTCGGACTATATATCAAATTGAAGCTATTGAAAATTGCTATTCGGTGTGGAAATTTCAAGACTTCAGCGAAAAGAAAAATATTTAAAAAATACAAAAACAACTGCAAAACGGCAAATTATCGGTAATTATGTTTGTAGTTTTTCAATATTTCCCTTTTAGCTAAAATCTTGAAATTTCTACACCAAATAGCATTTTTTAATAGCTTCAATTTGATATATAGCCCAACGTTCAGTGTTGAGTATTTCTGCTCATAACTCAGAAAAACTAAAATGCACTGGCTTCAATTTCCCCCCCTGAGTTAGCCTTCCAGTTTATTTATAGTTCAATGGGTTGAGCCAAGCTATCTCCACCAGGATTTCTGAATAATTTTCCGTTACGTTAAAACTGGTTTCATACATCAATGAAACCTTACTAGATTTTGCTAATTTGGGTGCTTGAACAACCTGAATTAATTGCGACGATTTGTTGGATATAATTGGGTCTTACAAATACATTTTCAGTATAACATAACATAACAAAACGTTAACGATTAACAGGGCTAAAAATAGCTACCAAAATGTCATACAAATCAAATGTACATTAGCACAAGCATCGGTATCCATAATGAGCGCAACTGGAGATTACATTCATACGGGTATTTCATACAGTATTTTCCTGGGGCCAACTGCCAAGCCTAGGGGCCCTAAATGCGCGAGGTCCCTAAATTCGCGAGGCATCTAAATTTGCGAGACACCTAAAATGGGCATGTCCCAATAGAAAATGGGCGTGTTCTCGTAAAAATGGGCGTGGTATAGTAAAGCGCGAGGCCCCCATAAGCGCGAGGCCTGCGGCATATGCCGCATCTGCCACGTGGTTAATCCGGCCCTGTGCGAGGCACCCAAAACAGGTTAGATGGAAAACACGGAGTCGGAGTCCCGGAGCCGGAGTCTGACGTCATAAAAATATGGAAAACACGGAGTCATATGGAAAA